CGGAGCTCCCGGCCGCCTGCCCCCGCCCCTCACGCGCCGCCGCACGCGGCCCCCGTGCGCGCGCGCCTGCCCCGCCGCCACGTGCGGGGGACCAAACCCCCTCCCTCGTGACGGGACGTCAGCGGGGCGGGGCCTCAGCACCCCCGCCTCAGAAGGCGGCGGGGCGGCGACGGGACGGGAGGCCCGATCCCTCAGGCGCGCATGGAGGCCGGTAGCGCCCCCGCCCGGGCCCAACCCCTCGGCCGCAGCGGAACAAGGCACCGTGCGAGAGGGGGGAGCTGTGCTTGTTAGTCATTTATGGCAGGAGTGTCTTAAGGCAACCAGGTGAAGGAGCTACATCTCGGTAATCGGAAACGGTTTGGCCTCGAGGGGCAGTAACCGGCTGGAGATGGAGCCGGCGGGAGGCGGAGAGGCTGGAGATCGGCACCGTAGGTTGGTCTGAGCTTCCTCCGGCAGCTCATGAAGGCACACTGAGGACTGCAGAGAGAAGAAAAAGGCTGGAGAAGGGACAGGTCTCCTTCAGCCCCTCCCCATAACAACCCCACATTTTAAGGATTTAAGGTACCGGAGGCAGCTACAGATGCATTTAAGAGTCACACATCTTAGAATCATAGAATGGTCTAGGTTGGAAGGGACCTTGAAGATCATCTAGTCCAACCATCAACCTAACTCTGACAAAAAAATAATAAATAAGCAATAAAAAAAATATAAATCACTAAACCATATTCCTGAGGACCATGTCAACCCGTCTTTTGAACACCTCCAGGGATGGTGCCTCAACCACTTCCCTGGGTAGCCCATTCAAATGCTGGCGACCCCTTTCGGTGAAGAATTGTTGACTAATCTCACAGCTAAACCTCCCCTGGCACAACCTGAGGCCGTTTCCCCTTGTCCTATCTCCTGTGACTTAGAAGCGGGGGTCAGTCTCGTCTCCCCTTACACCCCCTTCAGGGAGTTATAGAGCACGAGAAGGTCTCCCTCAGCCTCCTCTTCCTCAGACTGAACCCCCCCAGCTCCCTCAGCCTCTCCTCACAAGACTTGCCTTTCTAGTTTTAGTTTTCCTTTGTGCCCGCAGGCTGGCATTTCTCACCCAGGAGGTGCATCTGTTGCCAGTGGTTACCACAGTGTTTGTTGCTGTCTTAGAGCTCCCACGGAATGCTCCAGGAATTACAGGAGAATTCCAGCCAGAGATGAACTGTATGTTCCCCGGCTTGCTGTCCTAACCCAACATTACTATCAATTCAGCCAGCAGCAAAGTTTTTACTTTAAAAAAGCCCCATATGCTATGGCAGCACACTCGGGGCTGCCTCGGTGGGAAGGATTCATCCAGCAAGAACCTGATGGATGAAAAAACAGTTCTATTTCTCACCCAGGAGGTGCATCTGTTGCCAATGGTTACTGCAGTGTTTGTTGCTGTCTTAGAGCTCCCATGGAATGCTCCAGGAATTACAGGAGAATTCCAGCCAGAGATGAACGGTATGTTCCCCAGCTTGCTGTCCTAACCCAACATTACTATCAATTCAGCCAGCAGCAAAGTTTTTACTTTAAAGAAGCCCCATCTGCTATGGCAGCACACTCGGGGCTGCCTCGCTGGGAAGGATTCATCCAGCAAGAACCTGATGGATGAAAAAACAGTTCTCAGAGAAGGGAGACGTGGAATTTCTCCTTATTTTTCTGCAACACACAGCTGTAACACAGCTGTTACACAGCTGTTCTGGTGCCCAAACCCTCCCTATTTCTACTCTCCCATTTTACTCCACACAGGTGTCTGAGATTCTTCTCCCACAGTGGTCATAGTTCACCCCTCACTACAGGCTGCCATCATTAAAGTAGTCACTGCTATTTCAAATTAATGTTGTATATACCTCCATTTGAGAATCCTGCCTTTATTTAAGCTCTACCAGTCAGTGAATTGTCAGTGAATTACCACCACCTATTCCAACTCTACCACAAATCCCCATTTTGGTGAAACTTACCAATAATGATGATGATGATGATGATAACAACGGCTATCAATATTGCCCACATCTGTGGAAAAAGAAAAAAAAAAGCCACACAACACTTACTACAAGCCATGCAGCAACATTAACGGGCCTTTAGGGTACAGGAAAGCAGCACCCATGAGGTACTTTTGCACTGGGTGCTGGATCAAACGTGGCAAGTGAAACTTTTTCAGTAATCAAGCTCAATCTACCACCCCTCTCAGAGACAGCAGGGCTGTGCACACAGGCAGAGCAACAGGTTCTTTTCTACTCTGCCTCCACACAAAGCCCATCTCGGGTGAGAATACAAGCAGGAATAAAAAAAACCCAAACTATTAAATATCACTTCCACTCTTACCTACATCTTTCACTGTCTTTGCTGCTCACCAAAGATGATTCCAACCTTTGCCAACAGCCACAAGTACAAGAGTCTGAGTGAACTCCTTCTGCTTTCTGCACATTAACTAAACCTATGCATTTTTTGCCTTTTAATTCCTGGTCCCCCAAGCCTCAGATTACTGAGGTGTTTCTCTCTGGGCATTACTATCTTAGATGAGGTCTTCTTGCATCAAGCAGCACGACTAATAATCCAGCTTTTGGTTGCTTCACCTAACCACCATGCCACGTTTAAAAAAAAAAATAATGATGCTGTAACTTAGATAACATTGGCTAAAGTTATGTTTACTTCTGCTTTTTGAGATGCTGATTGCAATAGTATGAACAGTAATGGTTACCTTACAGTTCTTCCACCAATACTTCCTTTTCAGCTTGGCCGCGCTCGTCTCAAACTGGGAAGCTCCCGCTTGCAGCGCGTCGGCACGGTCGTCCAACTCCGACAGCTTCTGATCTCGCTCCAAAACCTTGTCCACGTTCACTCGCATGATGTCAACCACCTACATCAGTTCAATGCTTATGGTGAGTTACACCTCCTCTCACTCACTGTGGAACTTCGTTGCAGACACGAGATACAACACACAGTACTCTTAATGTTTTTGTCCCCGAAGTAGCAGCTATTGCCTCTCAGTCTATCCAGTCACAAGCTTAAACAAAACAGTGACATTCACCTGTGGCTGGATGTCCCCAAGACCTACTTTAAAACCCCAGTAGTGCCCATTGTGCTGGCACTCCCTTAAACTGAGAAATAATTCCTGACTCACTTCAGAAGGGGTTGAGGCATATAAACATGGTAGTCAACCATGTGTCAAAAAAATACTGTCGGTAGCCACTCTGGCTTTTGGACTCCCCAGAAATCTGTACACATCATATTTGGCAGTCAGCCTTCCTTGCTGCTGATGAGAAAAAAGCTTGCTCTCCCTGAGCTATGTCAAGAAAGAGCTATGTCAAATCCTCAAGCACCAAGTTTGCAGCCAATGTTTGGTCACTGGTAACTTCCCTCTATTCCCCAATCCAGCTGAATGGATTTTTTTTTTTTAATCTTTGCAAGAGTTAGGGTGACATAAGTATAATAAAACAAGCTGAATGATACTTCCCCTTCCTATAATGAGGGGGAAACCGCTCTGGACAAAATAACCCTTCTAGTTACATCAATTGCCTGAAGGAAAATGATTACACTGCTATCAGACTAGACTTTTACCTCATCTACTTGGTGTTGAGTCTGCTGAAGACGGCGATTACTGCCAGCAGCTGCATTTGAGCTTCCAGGGACACTGGCTGACCTGCAGTAAAGAAAGTCACTGTTATTCCTCTTAGCTTTGAATAGTTTGTGGTTTTGCTTTGAAGCGGATATGCTCAGAGTACCCAAGTTATCTGACATTCCCAAAAACAGTGAACTTGTGTCCTTGTAATAAATGCGGGGCAGTTTCCTTCTGGAAAAGTGATGTTTTAACAGCTGACAATAGGAGTAAGTCATGCAGGGTCCCAACATATTGCCAACAAATTGCCTGATGTGCTAAAAGACAACAGTAGCTGGATAATACTGTAGTTTACAATAATTTACATAACAACTTCTCCAATAGTTCACAGGGCTCAAACATTCAAGAGTTTAGACTCAGGGATGTTGTTACCCCCCAGTACAAACACAAGCTGCAGTAGTTTACAAAAAATTAAATACAGAAACTTAATGGTTATTCTAACTATGTGCTCTTCTAGGGGTTGCCTCCATCTCTGTTCTTTTTAAAGAGTTGACATGGGGTGAGGGAAAGCACAGGGAAGAAGCAGCAATCATTCAGGATACACAGCAATTTACCTCTGGTCAGCTTTGAATTCATAACCCCAGGCAGTCGAGTTCTTGCACCCTGCAGCTCTGCAAGGGACGCAGAACCCTCTGTACCTCTGAAGGTACATGCTTTTTGGACCTTTTCACCTCTTTGCCAGACTTTTGTTGCACATCTCTAGAGCCACCAGTACGCAGGCTGCTTTTCCACATTTTTCACTTATTCTGCATCAGGAACACGGGCTGTTTGGTGCATCCTGAACCGGGGGGTGCTCAGCCCGAGCACCGGCTGTAGTTACACATCCCACACTGACTTCTCGTTTACGTTCAGCGCACAAGCAGCAAAACCAGGAAGCCTGTGCCGGGGCTCCGGGGCAGCCCGTGTACAACACAACCCAACCGGCCACTCCCCGGTGCTGATCCAACGCCGGCCACAACCTTAAAAGTTCCGGAAGGAAAACCTCTTCCCGAGAGCCCCGACGACAAACCGGTCACCGCAACTCCCTCGCCGGGTGTTCCGGCTGCGCGGGCACCGCTCCAGAGAAGACGCCCGGGGCTTCCCGAGCACCCGCAGAGCCCCGGTACCGGCCCGTGCAGCGCTTCAGGGCCTCCCCGGCCCTAACGACGGCCCGGTGCCACCGCCCAGGGCGCCACGCACAGCCGCTCCCGGCAGCCCCCACCCGCGGGCGGCGCCCTCCCCGGGACACCAGCCGGCCCTACCGGACCGGGACCGGGCCGCGCTGCGCAACAGGCCTGGCCCCGCTCCCACCGCCCGCGGCCGAGCCCTGACGCCGCTCCCCGGGGCTCCCCGACCCCGCACTCACATCCTGCCGGCGGGATGGGGGCTTCGCAGCCAAAGCGTCCGGGCGGCTCCCGAAGGGAAGTGCGCGCCGTCCCGCCGGCGCCCGGGATGTGACGGGCCCGGGGCGGGGCCTGGAGGAGCTCAGGGGGGCAGGGCCTAGAGACCACGCCTCCAGATGGGCGGTGCCGCGCCGAGCCTCGTCCCCAATAGGGCCGTGCGCCGAGGCCACGCCCCCGAGCGGGAGGTGGGGGGAGCGAGCGCGCGGTGCGGCCGTTGGGGCGCGCGGCGGTGGGGGGGG